TATGGAGACACTCCTGGGAAAAGAGGGAAGAGGGCACTGCCATCTTGGTGGTCAGGGACTCTGAATTGCATGCCCACTGCCTTGTTGTAGCTCATGTTATCCCCAATGAGCCAGTGCCATCCTCCTCGTCCCCACGCGCTGCATTGAGAGAGCCAGGATGCAGCCTCAGGCTCTCGATCACCAAGTAGGGGACTGGAAACTTACCTGCTTCTACATTCCTGGAGCATCTGGGGGTGTCCAGACTAGATATAGCTCCAGCTATCTGGAGGTGATGTTTCTTTGGGGTATTATTATCTTTTTCAACCAATCATGACACAGTCTTCTCAAGACCTACTGTGCAACAGACAAAACTTGATCTCTCATCAGATGCGTATCATGAGGGCCTACAGTGTGCTAGGTAATATTTCCCCTTTTTGCAGGCTGCAAATATTACCAGGGCCTACTGTGTGCTGGATGATGCCTTCTCCCTCATCAGGCACAAGTGTCATCAGGACCTACTCTGTTCCCAGAGATACGAATATCCCAAAGACCTACTGTGTGCCATTTGGTGACTATCCCTCACTATACATAAGCATCATGAATACCTACTGTGCACCTGGTGCTGCACATCTAACTGATACAAGTGTCACAGGACCTAATGTGTGTCAGGTAATGCCTTTTCCCTCCCAAGCTGCCCACTGTGTTCCTTTTAGTCTTGGCACACAGTAGACCCTTTGTAGGTCCTTATCAAATGAGTCATGAGGACATAGACTCAGGGCAGGAACAGGAGAGGAGATGGGTGTGTTAGAACAGCATCAGAACGGGGCAGCAGGCAGGGCAAGGGAGCAGAAAGAGGTGAGGGGCACAGAAGATCCTGCAGCTTTGGCTTCTGTGGGTGCCATCTGAGCCCTGGGACTTGCTTCTCCCACTTTGCTGGGTAGAAGTTCACATGGCCTCAGGTTGGTTTTTTCAAACCATTCCATCAGGAGTCCCAGGAATGCTAAAGGAAGCTGAAAACCTTCCCCTGCTCATCTGAAAAATCTCTCTCAAGGCAGACTTTTAGAGGGTCACCATGCCCACTGACCCCCACGGGGGACTGGCAGTTAGCTGTGGAGTGGAGGGCCCAGGGCCTCTAGCTTGCCTGCCTCTTCTGGGAGATCTCCAGAAGATGAGACTCCACGTGGCACGGTCCTCTTTGGTGCCCTCGCTGTCTGAAAGCTCAGCCCTTGGTCCTAATTGTCCAGTGGTGAGATTACAGTGCAGAGCCGATTACAGCAGATGGTGGCAAACCAGAGAGCTTAGTGTCTCTCACCTTGTGGCCAATTCTTTGCTGCTTTTGAAAGCAATGATACCTTATTGGGGGATATTTGGACAATATTGAGAAACAGGAAGAGCAGCATGGATGTGGGATTGTAGGGGCATTGGCATGTTGCTTCTCTGTTTTGTTTGTTTGTTTTTTTTCTGTGTGATTTTCCTTATAACACAGCAGATCCTATTATAAGACATGATTTATAGCCTGTTGAGGCCACTTAGCATTACAGTGTATCACAGGTCCTTGGCATTACAAACTCTGTGAACATGGCTTTTTTCCAAGCAGCACAAAGTTTCCTTGCATTGGGTCAAACAGCCCCAGGTGCAGAACGTTTTGTCAGCTGGAGCGTCCACAGTACAGTTCCATAGATAGGGTGCCTTAGAAGGAATTGATTTTCTTACATTTCTGGAGACTAGAAGTCTGAAGCCAGGATGCCAATGTGATGGCTTCTACCTCTAGCCTTGCAAAAGGCCACTTTCTTCCGGTGTCCACATACAGAGGAAAGGAAGTGAGTTCTGTGCCTGTTTGCTCCCTCCCCTCATTCTCTTTAGAAAGCCACTGATTGCATCAGGAGAGCCCCCTACCCTCATGACCTCATCCAACTCTGATTACCTCTCAAAGGCTCCATCTCCCAATTGCCACCGTGTTGGGAGTTCGGCTTCAGTGTGTAAGTTTTAGCTGTGACATATACACATCCTCTAATGTTGACTGTTAATCTAGGGCTAAGCGACTGTCTCCCTGAATCCCCACTACAGGTGCGTTGGGGGAGAGCAATATGGTGGATCTCAGAATTTGGCCTTACCACTCCGTCTGTTTGTTCCATCCTCAGCACTAGAAAGTATAAAACAAAGGTAGTGTTGATACTCAAAATTTGTAGAACCCCTTTAGTAACCTTGTAGACAGGTGATTTCTCACCATATCTTCCTCTGAATGACAGATCCCTCCTCATCCTCAAAATAAGATTTCACCAGGATTTTATGTGGGTATAGAGCAGAGGGCCTGACACAAGGGCTTTTGTATATTAAGCAACTGTTAGCATGAATGTTTTTGCTTTCTCTTGTCTACTATCTTATTGGGGTCCCCTAGACACCCCTAGGATCCAGAGATGAGCTAGAAAGGCTCATAGGATTCATATCCAGTCATCTTTTACTCTCTGTGGGAGATTGGTTCCAAGATTCCCTTGGGGATGCTAAAATCCACTGATGCTTGAGTCATTTTTAGAAAATGGTGTAGCATTTGCTTATCACCTACACACATTCTCCATATACTTCACATTACTGGCTGGGCACCAATGGTTCATGCCTGTAATCCTAGTTACTCAGGAAGCTAAGATTTGAGGATTGAGGTTCAAAGTGAGCCCAAACAGGAAAATCCTTGAGACTCTTATCTCCAGTAAACTACTCAGAAAAAAACAGAAGTATCATTGTGGCTCTAGTGGTAGAGCACTGGCCTTGAGCAAAAGAAGCTCAGGCCCTGAGTTCAAGCCCCAGGACCAGCACCAAAAACAAACAAACAAACAAAAACCCTTCACATCATCCTAGATGACTCCTAATATCCAACACAATGGCAATGGTTTGGAAATTGCTATTATACTGTATTGTTTAGGAAATAACAAAAAACTCTATGCATGTGCAGTATAGTTTTTAAGATAAAATTTTATTGTTACTATTAAGGTACTGTACAAAGGGGTTACCATTCCATAAGTCAGGTAAAAAGTACATTTTTTTTACAATGTCACCCCTTCCTTCGCTTTCCCCCAGTTTCCCCCTCCCGCCCTGTCCACAAGTTACATAGTATACTTTTCCATGTAGCATATACTGAACACCACAATTGCATTTGTTCACCCTCCCTCCCTTTCTGTACTCTCATAGGTAAAATTAAAAAAATATATTATTGATCTGTGGCTGGTTGAGTCTGCAGAGGGGGGGCTCTGACTGTAGTTGTATATAGTTGTGCCCACGGCTGATTTTTATTATGAAGACTAAGCAAAATGAGCCAGGGGAAAGGCACATTGGAAAAGTTCAGTGGAAGCCCAGGCTCTCTGGCTGAATCACACAGGACACACATTTAATAATGTGACTCATGTGTGAGACACCATCTCTCTGCAGAGCTTTTTTTTTTTGCCAGTCCTGGATCTTAAACTCTGGGCCTGGGCACTGTCCTTGAGCCTCTCTGTGCTCAAGGCTAGCACTCTACCAATTGAGCCGCAGTGCCACTTCCAGCTTTTTCTGTGTATGTGGTGCTGAGGAATCAAACCCAGGGCTTTGTGCATGCTAGGCAAGCACTCTACCACGGAGCCACCTTCCCAGCCCCTGCAAAGCATTTTTAGGTTGCACTCAAGGTTTCACTGGGGGCCATACCACACTCCTGCAGGAGAGCAGGCAAGCAGAAGAAGCCACTCTGTTTGCACCTGCCATCTAAGCCCAGCACGCTGCACAGCCTGGGCACAGGGGTGGGAGCTGTGGCAGGCAGCAGCGCTCAACATCCAAGTTTCAGATGCCAGTCAGGACCCATCCTGACACAGACATGCGGGCCCATTTAAAGATGGCAGCCTGGAGGTATGCTTGGGACACACTCTTCAGCATAGCTTTCCTAAGAGATCAAATGTCTTATATTTGGGCCACTTTATTTATTTACATTGTATTTATTCCATGGTAAGTGTCAAGTGGTTTCATTGTAGTATTATTTCCATGCATGAGTATGCTGTACACAGATTAACCCACTCTGTTGCTCTCTTTTCCTCACCCCCTCATCTTCCATATTTTTAACAATTTTCAGGAGGTTACCTTGTGCCATTTTTATACATAGACACAATGTATTTTAGTATCATTCCTGTATTATCACCCTTTTCTTCTAGTCCTCCTCATTTCTCCAAATAGCACCACAATTATAGTCACATGTGTGTGTGTCTGTCTATCTGTCTGCAAATATCTGTCTAGATAGATGATCTAGAGAGATATCTAGATAGATATTAGGTCTGGATTCTAAATTTGAGAGACAGCATATGATCTTTGTTCTTCTCAACTTGGCTTTATTTCACATATGCATTTCACAAATGAATAATTTCATTCTTATGGCTTAGTAATATTCCATTGTGTATATGTAACACATTTTCTTGATCCATTCATTAGTTGTAGAGGATCTGGGTCATTCTCTAGCTTGGTGTAAATAGTGCCACAATGTACATGGTTGTGCAGGAGAAATCTCTATTATATCCTGGGTAACATTCCTTCAATTAACTATCTAAGAGTAGAATATCTGGATCATAGGGTAGTTCTAGTTTTAGATGTATAGGAAGTTCCATACTGACTTCCATAGTAGTTATACTAGTTGTTTGTATTCTTGACAAATGCCATTCAACTGGCACTCCAGTTGAATCTCAATGTGGTTTTGATTGTGTTTCCTTTATGGCCTAGGATGTTGAACATTTGTTTATGTATTTATTAGCCATTTATACTTTCAAGAATTGTCTATTCAGTTCATTTTCCTAATTATGATTTGGGTTTGGGTTGTTGGACCACTTTGAGTAGCAGTAGACATAGACCCATTTCCATAGGCCAAACTAAGGGCTGGGGGGTGGGGAGAAGAGAACTTATGAGCAAAAAGAAAACTTTAGGGGCGAGTGCCTTCCTTCATGAGGGAGTCCTGTGAAGACTTGAGAAGCTGGAAGTGCCCCCCTTCCCTTTAACTGTGTGTTCCCCCGTTCTAGGCTCTGAAGGGCTCCAAGAAGCTGGTGCTGTCTGTGTACTCGGCCGGGCGCATCCCTGGAGGATATGTCACCAACCACATCTACACCTGGGTGGACCCACAGGGCCGAAGCATCTCCCCACCTTCAGGCCTGCCCCAGCCCCATGGCAGTGCCCTGAGACAGCATGAGGGGGACCGCAGGAGCACGCTACACCTCCTTCAGAGCGGGGATGAGAAAAAGGTGAGCTCCTGGTTATAACAGAGGGAGGAGCTGGTGGCAGCAGAAGCTGAGTTACCAAGATCTTTCCACATGAGAACAGGGCGGGGCTCCTCAGAGGATCTGCCCCCCCAAACCCCCCCCCCCCCCGCAGGCCTCTGTCCTCTCCCACATGCCCCTCTCAAAGAGTTTTGTCTCTGGCCTGTTTCTGACCTGTTCAGTGCTACACTGCTGCAAAGAAGAGCTCAGATACATGCATTCAGCGGATCAGTCACCATCCCCCTCTAGAGGATGGGCCCTTCTGCTGGCAGGAGTTGGGCTATACCAGGCCCTGCTGCCTAGCCCTAGGAAAGGAAAGGGAGAAGGCTCTGGGCTGGGCTTCGTACATTAGAGATGGCTGAACTGCACCATGGTCTTTGATCTAGGTGTGTAGCCCAAGAAGCTGCCAGGACTTTTACCGTCTCCCCCAGGGAATCTGTGGTAGTTTGGGTCCCAGATTGTAAACAATAGAGGCCTGTCTGCCCGCCCTGCCCTAGTGTGGGCAGCCCCAGCACTGCAGCTAGGGTACAACCTGCAGAGGATCTCTGCCATTCTGTTCTCCCAGTCTTCACCCTCAGGTGTCCACTTACAGGGAGGGGGCATCTGATGGGCTTGGTGCGGAACCTTGACTTAGAAACTACCAGGGCTTTAGCTGGTGGGGAAGGGGTTGTTGCTTGGAGCACCATGGGGTTTGTAACTTAATGACTGAGGCAGGGGTATGAATAAATGTCCCCAACAGAGCTCTCTTCCTCATAGAAATGGTCTATGTCTTCCCATCAAATGAACCAGGGATTAACGGGGCTCCTCATGTCTTAACCTTCTCTTTGGGCTGTTTGATTTGCACTCCTTTGGGTGTGATTTGACTGACCAGCAGCTCTGCTCTCTCCAAACCTTGAGAGTTAAGAGGCAGCAGCTAAGAGGCCGCAGAACCTAGATGCTGGGCCAAGCACCATCCCCGTGGAGACTCTTTCTGAGCTCTCTCCTTTACCTGTCAATAAGAGCATAACATTAATTTAGTGCATTTGTGTTCTTTGTTGAAATGTCAATATGCAGGACATAGGCGATCTCTGTGCTGCTGGGGGAGGCAATGGAGGCTAAGAGGCTAGTTGGTGTGCACTGGGCCGCCTCCCAGGCATCTTCAGAGTGGCTGGGGTCTTATGCCCTCCCCAGCAGGAGGACAATCCTCGGTTCCTGCAGCTCCTATCTTCTGCAGTGCCTAAGTTTTGTGGGGTAATTGGTCATGCCTTGAGCTGCTAACACCTTGAGTCCTTCTAACCACCTGTAGGGTGCTTGTCACTGGCTCCATCCTACCAGAAGTAAGTCATCTAAGCTTATTGAGCTCTACTGTGTGCCTGACAGTGTCATGAGTGATGGGGATAAAGGAACTGAAGAAAGGAAGGAAGGAGGGAAAACTAACTGGCTGGCTGGCTGGTTGGGTTGTTCCATCTACCATACACAGGCTGTCTTACCTGTCTGCTTCTCTAGGCAGAAACAGGGGCGTATGAATCAACTCTTGGTGGTTCTCCTGGCTGAAGGTAGAAGTATGTTATTAATATGGGTGATTTTCAAATACACGGAGTAGTCATAGGTGGGGGCTAAGAGTCAGGATCTCCACTAGAGGTATATTACCCACACAACGGCCTCCCTCTGTCCTCCTGAGTCCTGTGTAACCAGCCCATGTACACACGGGGCTTTGCCTAGTTCCAGAGGAGAGAGAGTTGTCTGCTTACAAAGTCAACATCAGAGGCCACAAGTCCCTGCAAGGGGGAAAAAGGCACTTCCTGTCTCTCTGTTATCTCTACAGGCATGGAGGGATGCTCAGCCATGAATCAGCAGGCTGCAGACCTTAGCCTTGGTGGTTCTTGTGTGTGTGTGTGTGTGTGTGTGTGTGTGTGTGTGTGTGTGTGTGTGTGTGATTTACTAGGCTTTGGACTCAGGGCTTCATGCTAGCTTTTTTGCTTATGGCTGATTAGTATTCTACCAATTGAGTCATACTTCCAATTTGGCATTTTACTGTTTAATTGAACATGTCTTGGGACATTTGTCTCCAGACTGGCATTGAACCAGGATCCTCAGATCTCAGCCTGCTAGGATTACAGGTGTGAGCCACAGGCACCAAGGCACCCTTAGGAGCTCCTGGTTGGTTGCCTGGACCAATGAATAGAAGATAATTTTGTCTTTGTCTTCCTCTGGGACTTACCACGGCTCTTTTTAAATACTGTGACAAAATCCATTGAACCCCAAATCTCAGCTATTTCTCAAGTGTATATTTCAAAAGTAGGTTTGGGGTTTGGTTTTTTTTGGACGTAGAGAGGTTGAGAGTCTCACTCTGAAGTGAATGGCCTTGAATTCAAGATCCTCCTGCCTCAGCCTCCTGAGTGCTAGATTACAGGAGCATTCTACTATGCCCAGAAGTGGGGTAGATTTTCAAGAAAGTCAGGGAAGGCCTCATGAAGAAGCAATCAAGGTAAAACTCAGAGGGCAGATGGAAGAGTGTTTGGAGGCCCAGACCTCCTTTAGGGGGTGGGGAAGGACCTTTTAAATTTATTTTCATTATTAAGTAGTTAAGAGGTTACAATTTAGAGGTCATAATTCTGTAAGTCAGGTGGTCCAGGGACCCCAGCGGTACTCCATCATGCCCAATGGTGTTCAGGGGACCCAGCAGGGTCCTGGAATTCCCAGCAGTGTCCACATGGGCCCAGCAGCATTCCAGCATTCCCAGGAATGAATCAAGGTACCCAATAAGGGACCAGGGACCAGGGTGTATAGCAGTATCTCAGAGTGCCCAGCAGTGAACTCCAAAGCCTGCTTGTGAACTCTGGCCCCTTCATTTTACATTTCAGTGAGGGCCACACTTCAGTGTCCTTCTCTGGAAAATAGAATAGCACAGGAAAGCCAAGGTTAACTGAAGGAGTGTGTGTGTGTGTGTGTGTGTGTGTGTGTGTGTGTGTGTGTGTGTGTGTGTGTGTGTGTGTAATGCTAGTGTGTGTGTGTGTGTGTGTGTGTGTGTGTGTAATGCTAGCACGGTACCTGCCTTAGTTGGGCTTGGTTCATGATCTGTTCTCATTCTAATCGGCTGATGGTATTCTGTACTCCGAGCCAGACCTCCACAGTCTCATTTTCTTTCTCTTAGATGAATTCTGCTCATGCCAAACACTAGTTGGATTTGTAGTGAACGATCAAGGCAGATTATCCTGTGGCTGATAGAACTTTATTGCCATTCTGTGATAAAGACTCCACTTTATTTCCATGCGGAGGAGTTGTGGAAAACGGTGGGAAGATGGAATGTCTGTTTCTATCCTTAGTATTCAGAGGGAGCTGCTTGGAGCTGGGCATTTTGGGCTTGGCTGCAAGGATGCAAAAGGTCTTGCCCAGGCCTCCTTGGAGGTGGGAAAGCCAGTGGAGGGATGAGAGGAGCTTACTACATATGACCTGGCATATTGGATCTAGCAGATCCTGAGCCAGGCCTACTGGTCCCTGCCCAGAGGGCACAGTCCTATGAGCACCATCTGTTCCCAGCCGGCCTCCAGCCCTTCGGTGTGAGGCCTCCCACCCCCTACCACTGTCTCAAGACACAGACCCTCTCTGGGGGTCTTCAGAAGTTCTCTTTATCTCTCATTTGGCCCACAGCCCCACAGGCCTGCCCTTTCCTCTCCACCCCCTGCCAGCTATGAGCCATTTTCTGTGGTCTGTCCCATGCCTGGACCTCAGCACTGGCTGTGGCCCTGAACAAAGCCGACAAGCCAGCATGCCTAGGATGTTGGATCCCAGGGAACCTCTGGAGGGCTCCTCAGCATTCTCCTTTCCCTGAAGTTTTAGCATTGATAGAGGACAAGAGTTCTCCAAGTCACTCAGCACATCAGTGAAAGAACCAGACTGGGGGTGTCTCTGGGGACAGTCCAGATCTGGCCTTGCCCTTCTGGTGCGTGGAGTCAGTTCCATGTTCTTCTGAGCAGGGGAGGCATGTCGCACACAGACACAGACACAGACACACACAGACACACACACACAGACACACACACACACACACATACACACACACGCCCGCTTCCCCCACGTGAGCCTCCTCCAGGCTGACAACACCTTATCTCTCCCCTGCAGGTGAACCTGGTGCTGGGGGACGGCCGCTCCCTGGGCCTCACCATCCGAGGGGGAGCTGAGTACGGCCTAGGCATATACATCACTGGCGTGGACCCAGGCTCCGAAGCGGAAAGCAGCGGGCTCAAGGTGAGGGGAGATCCCAGGGTCTGGTTCGCAGCGTCTGTGCTGTGTAGAGAGGAACGTCTGGACGAGACCCACTCACACCCCAGAACCTCACCAGTGGCCATCTAGAGGCCAAGGCCAGGGCATGATGGAGGCTGTTCATTCTGTTCTTTCCATCCTTACACAGTGTCTGCATGGGAACAGGTGTTACTTTTACAGTCATGGCTAACTATGAGTATAAAGCAATTTCCATTTGGAAAGAAGGCGGAGGAAAAGCATTCCACAGAAGTTTTCCGGTCACTCGGTTTTGCCTAAGTTGCAGAGTGCAAGGATTTTATTTGCTCCTAAAGTGCCACCTTCAGTACGTCCTTCCATCCTTTCTCCTCTCCACAGCAGTGAAACATTTTCTACTTTCCTTCCCCCACGAGGCCCCTTCGGCTGTACCCCTGACACCTGCCTACACTCACTCGGGCGTCCAGGGCCGATTAATTCTGTTTATTGCAGTGCACTTTCCGTGGAATTAGGCGTATTGAAAAGGAATAAAGGGCTTGGCTGTGTGGGTGGCAGAGCCAGAACAGGCTTTATTTGTAAATAGGGCTTCCTGTCGCTGTGCAGATCTCTCCTGGGGGGAAAGGCTGCTTTCCAGCTGCTCGGCCCACTTACTTCCCCAGGCCCAGGTTGAGTTCTGAGGAGGGACAGGCCAACCCTGCCCTCTGTGGAAAGGCACTTAGGAGGTCAGGGGCTCCCAGCAGTTACCCTAGGGGTGGGCCAGGCAGTGGGGGTTGGGGGCAAGTTCCCCACCCTCTCAGCAGGGGCTGCCACCCCCTCCACAGTTTATCTTTGGATTGCTCTTATTCTTTTGTACCTGCCCTCACCGCCCACCCCCCACAGCTTTCCAGTCCTACCAGAGACCCAACCTTTAAGCCCTGTGTTCCATTCCCGATAGCCAGAATTGATTGGCAGTTAGAAATAATCACTGTGACAGCAGTTGCCACTTTTTAACCAGCTATTATGAGTCAGACACGGTGCAGAATGCTTGAGCTATGCATGCATACAATCCTCTCCATAGCCCGGTGGTGGCCATTAATAGCATGACTTAGATGAGTAAAAAAGACTCAGAAAGGTACAGGAAGTTGCCCAGAGCCACACAAGGATCCCGGCCTGCCCTACCCCAGGGTCCTCTAAAGGCAGTGTGCTTTCTTCTTTTTCTCTTAGTTCCGACTTCACCAACCAAAAGCACTAGGTGTCTTCGTCACCACCCAACATGCAAAGTTAGTGTGTGCAAGCTCTTCTATTGGTGCCTTCCCTGGAGGCTGTCAGCCAGTCCATTTCTGTTCATGGGGTCCAGGCTGTCATTCTGGTCCTGGGACCGTCCACTCACAGGGTCACCCCTCTGATTGTGGCCTTAGGACAGGCCTGTCAGGGATCTAGGGCAGAAGCTATGTCTCAGTAAGTGGGGACAGATGGCTCTTTGCAGCGCGGTGGTGGATGCTAGGTGTCTCGGAACTGCTGTGACAGCTGCAGGCTAGGCTGGCCCCTGTGCACACTGGATTTTGTCAGAATCAGTTCTGACCACCTGTCCTCTCTGGGCTAAGCACCTTCCATGTGCCATCCCTCGGTACCCTCCCTGTGGCTCAGGGGCTCCCAATACTTAATCCCACCAGAGAGCCTGGGCTGGGTATTATCTCTCGGCTCCCAGCGGCATGACATGGAGCCTGGGTGTGCTTTCTTTTCAAAATATCCCCCTGCCCAAGACAGCATCTGCATGTAGTAGATGTGTAGGAAACAGTTCTCTACTTGAGGGAGGGAGGAAGGATCTTGGCAGGACCAGAACCAGTTTTCTTTCTTCCAATCTTGTGCCCTGTCTCCTTTGCACCCAGCTCGCACACAACACAGAGTTCACTTTTGTGGAAGGAAAGGATTCTGCTAAGCACGGCCAGTGGCTTTCCTGCCCTCCTGCTGTTGCAGTCGTCATTGCTGTGGTGGACAGCACTCACCAGTGAGTGCTAATACCCGGGCAGAAGCTTAACCAGAAGTGGCATGTTTTTATGTAGCTCCGAGATATCTGTATATGTTGTGAGTATGGAGAGAAAATAAGTTTATAGTAGGTAATCCTGACTGCCACCCACATTAACTGAGTATAAATTTTTAAAAAATTACTATCTAGCCAGGCATCAGTAGCTCATGCCTATAATCCTAGCTATTCAGGAGGCTGAGATCTGAGAATCGTGGTTTGAAGCCAACCTGGGCAGGAAAGTCTATGAGACTCTTATCTCCAAATTAATCATCCACACACTCAAAAAGCTGGAAGTGGAGTTGGGCTCAAGTGGTAGAGCACTAGCCTTGAGCAAAGAAGTTCAGGGACGGCATCTAAACCCCTGAGTTTAAGCCCCAGGACTCTGTCTGTCTGCCTGTCTGCCTGCCTGCCTGCCTGTCTCTCTCTCTCTTCTCTCACACACACAATTACCTGTTTTCCAATTGTGAAAAAAGTATCCTTGCTAGACATAGAAAAGAGAAACAGTTTCCTGTCCTGTATTTTCCGGGAAGTCCTTCCTCTCCTGCCCTGTGCAACCTTGGGATGTGACAACTCTTTGCAGTTAGCATGACTTTCCAGAGCTCTTAAGAGTCTGGCCTGCCAGTCTCTTGGGGACCCTCCTTGCTGATTCTTTTCCTTCCTTGACCCCCACCACCATGAGCCTTTTAGAAAATGGCCTTCCTTCCTAGGTCAGATCATGATGTGTCTGGGCTGTAAGATTTTCATCAAGTTGTGGCCACTTCTCAGTACTAAGATGGGCTGTGAAACCAGGAGCCTGGGGCTGGGATGTAGCTCAGTGGAATTCCCAGAATTCCTGAGGTACAGGATTCAATCCCTGGCCTCATCAGAAGAGGTGAAGAGGCACAAATAGCAAGTTTGTGTTTCAATGGCCTTAGTATTATTTTTACCTAGTGCAATTTACTACCTATGATGTCTTCTCTTTGCTGGCAGGAAAGAAAGCAGGGGAGGGAGGAGCCATCGATGTAGCTAAGCTCTGAGGCAGGGGTTTGGAGAGAGCTATTTGCTGGTGGCACCAAGGCCATATCCCTCTCTGGGTTCTCAGGCCATAGGTCCTTCTCCTGTGAAGGGACTGCAGACAATGGAGGACAGAGCAAGGTGTCCCTACACCTGGTTTCCTGGAAGGTGCAGGAACCCAGAATTCAGCTCCCCATTGAATGGAGAGTGGCAAAGCCCCTGGAGCTCTTAAGTGACATGCTGGCCGGGCACCGGGGTGGGGAGCAACGGCACTGCACACCTGCTAAGCACTTTCCTTATGCTCCACTTTAATAACTCTCTGGACAGTCTCAGAGGTAGATGACCCACTACTTTTTATTGAAAGCTGTGCAGACGGAAGCCCAGAGAGGCCTAGCCCTGGAACCCTGGATGGGAGTGATGGGAAAAACAAGCCCAGCCAGACAGTCTTCAGCAGCTGTGGTTGGCCCTTTTCTGACATGAAAATCTTGTTCCCATTCCTTCCTTCTTGCACCTTTCCCAGACAAGTCCTGTGGCTCTTACTCTGGCCCCTTTGTGGTTCTGGGGCAGAGCAGGAGAGGGGCCCTGTAGGCGCCACCTTAACTGCCCTCTAGAGATGCAGGAGAGGAGACTGATGGACTCTCACTTTCACCTTTCCTCTGTGTGCCGTGTCTGCTCAGCTCAGCGGCCTTCGCTGGGGAAACATTCCTGCTGCCGGCAGGACTCAGGCCAATGGCCACGCCCCCTCCAGGTGCTGCCTGAGTCACCTCAAGGCAGGCCCAGATGGATGGCCTGGTTGTCATTGTCCCCATTTTACCTTTGAAGAGCCTGGTGGTCAGTGACTTTCAGCAGCTTGTCCCTGAGCTGTCAGAGAAGCCATGGAGCGCAGGCTGAGCCATCGCTGCCCCTAAGGCCACTGGCGACAGGGAAGCCCAGCTCGGAAGTGGGGTGCCTGTTCCACTGGGACAGACATTGTCCTGTTTCTGTAACTTCCATCCAGTGCCCGGCCCCTCCCCCCTGGGCAGCAGGCAGCTTGTCATTTGCACAACAATGCCAGGTGACTTACGTGGCACACAATTATCTGTACCTGTGAGATGGAAGCTGGTCTGCCAGGAAGGGGGTTCAGTCAGTGCTAAGAGTTGTTGAGCATGTCTGTCTTCCGTGGAAGGAGCACCCAAGGACCAGGACATGGGGTTTTGCCATCCCTAAATGAGTGAAGGGCACACAGATACACACTCACACACACATGCACACACACACACACACACTAAGGCCATGAGATCAGAGCCAGCTTAAATTTGCATAGCCATGAGAAAAGACAAGACCATTTAATGAATGGTGTGCTTAATGTCTCCTTGAGCCATTCTATCCATTCTGTCCACCAGATAGATAGAAGCCCAGGTTGGCATCAGGCTTTTCTACCAATCTCTTGCGCCGCTCAAGTGGCTGAGCAAAGGGTCTGCAGTGGAGTGTGGGGGCTGAGGCCATCAGCTGCCCTTCTGGCTTCAGACGTGGCCAGGCTGAGCTCAGTGGTGTCCGTGGAGGCTGGTGTGGTGTGCCGACCCATGGCCACGCTGGTCCCCTTCGCTGACGGACGTCATTGTAGCGGTGGGCCATTTGTCAGCCCCCGTTGTGGAGCAGGGCTGTAGCAAGGCATGGAGAGGAGGTCACTGTCCTGGCCCTGGCTCTGGCCTTGCCTGCAGATCACTTGTAGTGCGGATCACGGCGTCATACATCGCAGTTGCTGTGAGTACAGAGCCACCCACATGGAGGATGGCAGCCGCCAAGGAGTCTGCTTGTGGGTGAGGGGTCCTGGACACACCAGGAGAGGGGCGGCTGGTCTAGGGGCCACAGCCAGCGTTGGTGTCTGGGCGCGGAGCTCTCACATCTGGAGTCTCATGCTGGTGGTGGCCATGGCCCTGACTGGTCTCTCCATGGCTTTTCTCAGTCCTTGCACAGGCCTCGTGGGGGCTGCTTCTTAGCTTAGCTGGGGTCTGCAGGGAGGGAGGCAGGTGGG